TATTCGAGGACAAACTTGGGCGTTTTCCCGGTGGTGCGCTGTATGGAGGTCGGGATTTTAGTTCCACCTTCTCACCGCGAGATGGCTATAGCGTCGCTTGCCACGTTTTTGAACATTGGGAACAAGAATGAATGAATGAAGAGCTTTGCATTCTGAGCTTTATGCAGAGCTTTGATTATTATAGTAATAGGCGCAGAGTATTGTTAAATACCTCAGAAATAAGTTTCGAAAGGGAACAAGTATGTTGCACAAAAGTAAAGGCATTCGTTTATTTCATTTCTCCCGAATATTTAGATACACTCACACAAATATATACAGACGATATTGAACACATTTACAATGTTTCTTTCGATCATTGGTCATGTAATCAATTAGACATTCACAAGCGAATGTTATAATTTTCTTCGGTTAAAATATTTTAGTCGATTACGAATATCGAGGGCTGACGTTAGAGTATGCCGATTTTGCGGTGCGCGTCAAATAAATTAGACCTAAACTAATTTATTCAAATAAATTACTTAGGTATGTAAAAAATATAATTACTTAGGGAGTATTGATCCATCGTTTAGCCGTAACAAACGACGATAATACTGATCCAGCATCGAACGTCTCACGGATTGTCAAACTGTCCAATTAAATAAATTACCACTGAGCATAAATACGAAGAAACGTCTACCTACGAATAAATATTTAATATTTAAATTTTATCTACAAAATGTATCGGTTACACAAGTGTAATTATATTTAATTCTGACGTGCATTCGGATCTCTCTGGCATTTCGGGTGTTCGAAGATCCAGAATATTTAATAATAAGAATAATTAATATTAGCTTTTATAAATATATCGTCAACTGATCGGCTCGTGTACGTGTTCATCTTAATAGTTATACAATAAATTACAGCTTACGTGTAGTTAACGATCACTCGACTCTGACATTAGCTCAAAAAAAATAATCTCTGACGAATTCACAATTTATCGATTTGTCTTATGAAAAACTCATTGCGAGAAATTGTCTCTCTGTGTGCGTTTGAAGGAAAAATATTTCGCTCGTACGAATTCTCAGCTCCTCGAGTATAGCGTATATGTACAAATATCACGAACATAGAAAACGATAACGAAAGTGCGTAAAAAAAATAGAAGGTTTCGGAGACCGAGCGTGATTATGTACGATCGCAAAAATGCAGAATACGTCATTTGTTACTTCGCTTGGTCGTCGGATTTCGTTCTATCCTATTTACTCGATAATCGGAATAGATCATTGTCTATCTTGTTTTCCGTGAATTAATCGCAACAAACAGCAACTGGAATGTATGTTGGTTATGGATCCGAACAGATTTGAATATTTGTATACAATATCGATGGAAGCCCCTGCTACTTCCTCTCCGCTCAATTGGCAATCTTTACGCGAACGCATGTTCCGATTAATCAGTCAATTGTCTTTTATTATATCGGGGTTTCTCTAAAAACGTATCGTTCGATCTCTTAAGACGATGCACCTCCGTGTTGCTACGCTTCGTTTTAAAAACTAACTTCTTCCTTATACTTGAAAAATCGTCAGCTCCTAGGAATCCTACAGTACCGAAACCGAAATAACAGTTTTACAAATAATTTCTGAACGATGCTACTTGATTAAGGATTTCGGATTCATAGAAAACAGTCGAAAAAATGATGTCTTGCAACAAGTGTTCCGTTAACACTGATGCGGATCACAGATAACGAAACTTTCCAACTGGAAAATCATGTGAATTCATAGGTATATCGCTGAAGTTTAAGGATCTCTCTTTCTAATTGGTCGTGTTATCTTCGTTGATGTTCCGGATATTGAGACATTTAATTAAGACATTTTGACCTCGTATTTGGCAGCAATCGTGTTATGTTACGACGACGTACGCAGTGTCTCCTTCTAGTTAACGCTAAATCTTCGCATTTAAACACGAAAATGTTGTTCATTTTGTACTCAGTAGTATGATCAGCAGACTCGACTGTACTGTCGTCTATTTTTTCCATCGATAAGGGATGCTATTCGACTACCGTTTCTAAATTTAAATGTAATTCCATGTTTTAATAATAAATATTCACCTATTTCTACACAGTTTTGCAAATATTTTTTACGATCTGAAAACCTCGTAGATTCGATTAATGTACGTTGAATTATATTTCGTCCTAGACCTTTTCTCTAATTTTCATAAATTATTACGAACTGTTTCAAGCTTCCTCTCACTGTTGATACTACTGATACAAACTGCACGAGCGATACCAACCGTTTTATTTCATCCATCGCGTTATTTAAGCTCCATAAAACCGTTCCTGATATCCACAATTCATACTTTACAGTTCGGAGCGTTCTATCACGCAGGATATTCGACCAGAAATCAAATTCCTCTCAAAATATTAAATTTGATTAATCGATACGAGCAAGCAGTATTCATATTCGAACGATATCTAATTAACAGCTCGTTGTCCAGTCAATTCCGTCCCCTCGGACCTCTATATATCCGACTTGGAGACGTACAGCAAACTCTGGGATTCAAATCCATCGCGATAGAAGTCATCCACGCAGAATAAATTAAGTCACGCTCTTAAACGTGCGAAACAGACGCTCTCCATTTCCGTCGATGTCGATCGAACACTAACGAATAAAAAACTGATCGTCGCGTTAGGCACAGGTAGCTCTGTAACCTAAAGCCGCAGATTATCGTAGAATATATGTAATCTTGAGTACGTAGTCTTCGATAAAACACTGTCTTTACGATCGGTATTCTTTAACCGTCATCTTTCAAAATCCATCACAGCGATATTCCTTGCGTAGGGCATTCGAAATGAAAAATTCATGCGCGACGAACTGTCATCGATCCGCGATCGGTTTGCGATCACTTTATCTTCAACGTGAACGAATTGTAGCTACCTGTCGAGGGACATAACGACTCGTTGCCTTCGAATTACAGAACATCGCGACGTCTTCGCAGAGACAGTCCAGAGGCTAATCAAGCCAAGTAAGTTCTGGGATTCGTTTTCGGATTAGCAGCAGGGTCGTCCTTCGTGGTGCAGGACCAGGTCTCCTCCGCGAGGCTGCCGTACCTTTGGACGCCTGGAAACGGCGGTCCCGTGCTCTGCGGCGAGTAATAACCATCCTTCAGCTGATAGTAATTGCCAGTTTGTTGATACTGGTATTGATCGCCAGGCAGAATGTTGCTGTAGCCAGAGTACGAGCCGTACTGAGAGGAGTACGACGAGGAGTAGCCTCGCTCGCTCAAGCTTCTATAAGGCCCCGGATGCTGGGGCCTACCCTCTTGTCAAACGGGCGTGCTGACAGCAGCTGTCGTTATGTAGTCGATGTCGCCGATGCTCTTCACCCTACGGTGTCTTTTATTCCCTGTGATGGGTCTTGGGGGCAATTGCGGGGGTGGCGGCGAGTTGCTACGAGCACTGCTCATGTATTGGCTCGCCAAGCTTCCCGTATCCGACGACGACGAAGGTGAGGCCTTCTCGCTCCTGGGTCGCAGACCGAAGGCCCGACTCAACGATCCCTGTGGAAGGATACTTCGATCAGAGTTATCGAGTGAAACACGACGGTCGGTGGATCTGGACTTCCACGAGGCGACGATGCTACAGCAGCCCTGGTTAATTGTTATCAGAGATGGCCAGAACTTTATCCAAATAGACTGTGGATCTTTAGGGGAAATAATATCTTTGCCAACGTGCACAAATATTACAAATAATTGCGTCTAAGTAGAAATGTATTTTACTCTGGAAATATTAGAATATAAACATTGCTTACGATATCTGTTATTATGTTATTCCATAGCGTGTGCATTTATGTAACTAGGAGTCGCGATTTTTTTGCACATTCAAAAAGTGCATAAAGATCCGCGGTCTACGAACGATAAACAGTTTTCTAAAAGAAAGGATTTTTTTTTTTTTTTTTTTTTTTTTTTAAATTAAACACACGGAATGCTGTTGGTCATTGAAATATAAATTCTATATTTTAAATCGATATATTGACCGCGGTGAACAACGATGCCGTTCTGCTTCAATTAACGAGGGGTTGTATAGCAAACGAGCTATGGGGATATAGCCAAGATGCCTGAGGCGACGAGGTACGTATTCGAGACGATGCATCGAAGTGAACGTGTGTCTGAATTGCTCAAGCCTGCAGGATCGAAACGTTTCGAAACAGAGGTAACGCTGACTTTGGCGTGTCTTTTTTTTTTTTCTTTTCCTTTAAAAATCGGAAAGATCCAGATCGAAATTTCGCGCTCGAGTTTCGAAACCGTTTCGTACGATCGTGAATGAAAACAAAAATGACGGAAGGACAGGGAGAGTTGATCCTGCGTTGGTCACGCCGAAGCCGAGGATGCACGTGCAACGATACACCGAGCGGAAGATCTCTACGTTCATCGCTCTAATCGTTTAACTATCGATCGACAAATGAAAGATGCGTACGAAAAATAATGTACTTTCGCTTCGGGAGAAAAAGAACGGAACGAGGTTTCAGGTCACACGGAATTTTTCGCCACGAAGCTACGGACAAAACAACGCGCAAGCTAATGATTAATAATCAAAAGAAAAATCGGCTAACGAGGAAGATACGAAAAGAAAAATGGGACAACGAAACGTTGCGTCGCTACCAGTTACTAGTACTAAAGGAACGAAAGAAAACAAGTGAATGATGGTACGCGAGTTAATTATTATGGGCGCATTACCTGTGAGCTCTTCCACGACAACTAGTAAAGGACGAAACAAGGTCGATTAAGAACCCACACCCGGAATTCCACATTGAAATCATCAGTTTATATTTACACAATGGCTCGTCATTGTTATAATTGTATTAGGTTACTAAAAATCGAGCGTCCTCTGTTAATTATCTCGTTTCGTTTAACGCGGCAATCACTACAATGATGTACCCTTAAAAACAAGACACTCCTATTAACATACATGAGAAGGTGAAGGTGGCAATTAATTGTTGCTCATTATGTACAGTGTTTACAGTGTAGCGGCGATACAATCGGCCCTTCAAAGGAAAATATAGTCGAGGGTAACTAGGAGTCGCGATTTTTCACTCGTAGTTCATCGAGCCTGGATATCCGATATCCTTGGAAGCGATGTGTATGCAACGGAACAAATTTTAATTGGACGAATATAATTAGACCGTGGATGTTCACGCAAATTGATATTTTTCAGATGTAAAAGAAAGTATGTTTTACCTCCCAAACGATGTAAAATGTATTTTATATATTTTTGTATTTACGCACCTCTTTATGTACATTTTCCCATATTTTCACCGGTTATAAATATCCACAGTCTAAATATAATAAATGTATCTGAAGAGGATATATGTATAAAAGAGAATGTAAAGAAATGTCTGAAGAGGTAACATCCACTAAGAAAAATTCAATGAAGATTGCAACGTTTGGGGTTCGATGAATTACAAAGGTGAAATACCGATAATGATTTTTTTTTTGTTTCGTTAATTTCACTAACAACTTAAGCTCGTGTTTTATAACGTTCGATCGTCGAAAGGGAACGTCAGCCGGTGCTTTTACAAGATTTCTATGTAGATAACTTTAGTACGGCGAGAGGGATTGTACGACTTGTCGCGTTTTCCTACGCTTAAGGGCGATACGATTGCACTCGTATCCCGGAATGTCAGTCTTTCATTCTTTCGCGTCCAATTAAAAGCAATTTCCGTGAAATGGAGTAACTTGAAATTCGTCTAGAGTACGCTTAAATACAATTACGATTGCAACTGTTATTTCGTTACAAAAAGATACATTGTCGTTTGTTCTTTCACTCGTATCTTCGAGGTCTGTACGATCCAAGCCGAGGTTCGCGAGAACTGTCTAACCCTTTGCACTCGGAAGGCGATTCTCAGCCGCCACGAATAGGTTCCCGAGTTCTTTATGGATTCTCTCAGAGAAAATGGAAATATTGAAATGGAAGCAACACTTCTTATCTGATATTTGACAAAGTTTTCGGCATGTACTCGTTTCCAAAGTCTTTGGTGTTTCGAATGTTTTGAAACATTATAAAAATGGATGTCTGTAATGAAATCAGTTTGAAGCACGAACGACGAGCGTTTTATTATAAATTACTATCATCTCTGTACTTTAAAGTGTGGTCGAGTGCAAAGAGCTAAATTCCAGCGGTGTGTCGTCCATGCATGATCGATCACGTCGACTATCGTGTTTCACGGGCCACGAGCGTCAAGCTATCCGAGACGCTTCGCTTAAATCCAGACATTCGGTTTACACGAGGAGACATCCGCGAGAGACTTCGGTTGGGCGAACAATGTCTCGTCGTTCTGGATGGTGGTCTAAGATAACGATGAATAGGTGGTACCTACTATGTTTCTACGGAAATTGGAACATGTAAAGTTACGATAGATTGCATTCATTTGTCACCGTCACGTCGAACAGCGAACGAAACATTGCGCATCTTGCGGGACACGGTTACCAGAAAGACAAAGTGGGTTTGTGAAACGTAGGCACCCCGAAAAGTACAAAAGAAAGCGAGAAAATTTCCTACGCAGACGTACACCCACGAAAAGGAACATCGGAACCGAAAGATTACCACGTTCGATCAACGAAACTGAGATTTACAATCGAGATTCGATGTCCAGAGAAACGTGACGAAATATTCTATATTATGTAACAAAAGGAATAGTATCGAAGGAAGACAAGCATAGTATCGACGGCAATCAATCGTCCCCCTTACATACTCCCAAAGAACTGTTCTCTCAAAATTTCTCCAAGGATGCTTCGTAGCTTCACGTTCAATACTTTCGACTCTAAACGTACAAATTAAGAAATCAATGTATGAATTCTGTCAACTGAAGTTTTCCACAACTCCAGCGATTCTTGGAGAGAACTTGGAGGTGTTGCGTTCAACCCTTTGCGGTCCCAAGTCCGAATCGCAAAGGGTCAACCAAGCGCAACATTGAACATTGGGTCTCCTACGACGACAGAGTAATGTACAGAGACGTAGAGAAAGAAACGATGGATTAATATAGATATAGATACACATACGTATATATACATATATATCGAACCTTTTTCAAGTAAAGAAGACTGCAGGTCTGCGACGATCCACAGGATGCAGGGACAATGATCAACGTTAGGTCGAGCTCATAGCTCACAGCTTCCACCCTTATCGCGTCGAGATTTACGCGTGCACGTTCAACTTTCGAAGAGAAAGCTGAATTCTTCAGGTTTGAATCGAAGGGTCTCGATGAGTTTTCAAACTCCATAACGAACATTTTAATTCCGAACTCGAGCTGGTTCGAGCCTCGGCTACTTTTTACTCGAACAAAGGAATCTCCTCGATAAGGGCGAATGAAGCGTGTTTAGGGATCGTATCGAGACGGGAATTAGTTTTTGGTGGAATACTGCGCGAGCGTTTTTACCTAAGCGATGCCATGCAATCGTGCCAATGAGAAATCGTCGAACAAAAAAGTAAATACGTACAGAAATGAAGTGACGATGAATCGACAACGGTGACGGTAATTAAACAGAAAAAAATTAAGATGTGCACGATAGATAAAATTCATTGCAAGTAGTGGCTCGAGGTTTTTACATCGGAGTTAGAGCTACAAGCTGTCTTGAAAAGCGAAAGTTTTTTTACTAAAGACGATAAAGCTCGAGCAACCATTGAGAATGAGTTCTTGTGCGTGATCGTGTCGTAATCTTCTGCAATGTCAACGATGGCTTTCTATGTATATCTTCAAATGTTATGATAGTGGTAAAATGGTATCGAGACGTAGAAAGTCATCTGTGACGTTAGGTACCATAATTGAACGTATGGTATATCATTCGAGGTAGATCACTTCTGCATCGAAATTAACAGATTGTCTAAGAATAAAGTTCTATATGTATAACATTTACATTCTGTTTGTACACCTTCGAGAAGAACACCTGAGAACGTTTCTAAACTAAAAGACTCGCAACTAAAAGATTTTTATGAAACAGTTCGGGACCTTCCAGCTAGAGATCAAAGTCTCGAAAGAAGGGTGGAGAGTGAGTGTTGAATCTCTCGATCGTTCGAGAGAAAAATGCCCAGCTTGGAAGTCTGAAAAGGAAGGGAAACGATGCCAGAAGTGATCCGCCAAGAGCGTTTGTCGTACTCCGTGCATAACTCGAGAGAAAGAGTATAGGCGAAAGATGAGGAGTACCATATCGAGGTCCCGGTGCAGTCGTGTATGGACCAGGTCTTTAAATCTATACGGTACGTTACCCTGAGGCTGGATCTGCGTCTATCGACCGTGCCAGAGTGGTTGGCCGCCATGTGGAGGGCCGACAGGGAGCTCTGATGATGTTGAAGATGCAACGCTCTGCTTCCACGACCGAGGCTACCGCCTGCGCTCACGGTGCTCATCGGACGGCTTCCTGGGTTGCTGTTCCTCGGGACCACCTCCAGCTGACTTCTACACACACGCACAACCACGCTTCATGCACGCCTTTCTGCGTACACGCATCCCCGACCCGCTTATATGCGCACACCTTGGCGACACCGCGGACACACACACGTTCCGCACGGTTTGCAGCGAACCTCTCTCCCATTTCGTTATTCAGAGCGACTACGATGAGATGTTTCAGGGAATTCACGGTTCGGTTCTTTGGGGGACAGATGACACAACGATATCGTGGAATTCGAGAGTCGTTTGACTCCTGAAGAACCTGAATATCTGAAGATGGGAATGTTTTGCGAACTACCAAAGAAAAATTTAATTTAATTTCCAATTGAACGAAAGATCACGTCATCGTATTTGTAACAATGATGGGGTTGGGGGTGCAAAGAGTTGCAGGGATGATTTTGAGATTCGATGTATGGAGAGGTAACGCAAGTGAACGTTTCGAATCGAACAGTGGCTCGCTGCAAGTGCTCGACGATAGAACCAGATTGATCATAATGAATATCTAGTTACAACATAAATATACATACACAAGCATTTTGTGCACCATCGATATAGAAGAATGTATATAAGTTTACTTGACACCCGAACGCGCATGGTCGATCCGTGAAGGATCGACCGAGACGCGTCGGGGCCGGCTAGTCAGTCAATTGGAATAAACATCGAACAGTAAAAAAATGTAAATATCAAAGTTGGCAAATCAGAAAAAGATAAAAGGAACCATAATGCATTGCTGGTGTAATCCATGGTTAGATACGAGTGAAGAGAAGTCTACCCTGTTACTTGTATCGCGTCTAAACGTTTGAAATTTGATAGTTTAAGTAGCAACAAAGGATACAGCTAGTACGCTAGTTACATGGCGAGTGCTTTTTATAAATTTTTTAATCAAACTTTTAAACCTCAGAGAAGAGTGATATCGATATGCTTCACTTTTCTGGCTCTTAAACGTCGATGTTTACCCAGCAAAATGTCTTCGCCGCGGATTACACCAGAATTACTAATATTAACATGTGCTGTACATAGCGCAGTGCAGTGCAGGCGGCAGCTGTGGGCTACGGCTCAGCTATGAAAGACATTACCGATGGATCCGCGATCGGGTGGACTGCAGACCCAGCGAATCGCTGCGGTGCCGAGTACAATTGTTTCGATAATAATTTCATTTGAGTATACTGCATGTTTGTATATGTACATTATGTCGACTGTACTGTACTGTATTTACGTGTGTGTATTCCCGATATATCCAAGTATGGCGTGTGTATCACGGATGAGTACTTATATAATACGTTGGTCGGAGGCGACCTCGACCTCAATCCATGCATGGCGCGCCCTTTCGAGATCGCCTTAGACCACCGTGTACATTTACCTCTTTATAGTTAATCCTCTATCGCACCAAGTGTATCTCATCTTTCGTGAATTAATTGATATATAAACTTCCCGTCGATTACTTCCTTTGGATTTCCACACGGTATGCGACAGAAGGTTAACAATTTATCGTTTATTTTGGTGCACGTCTCCTACTCGGTTTTTCTGAGGTTTTTCTTTATGGTATTGTATGATGTCCAATGTCAATGTCTGTCCGGAATGAACTGTACCTATATCTTGTTCTTTGTCATTGTACCGAGTAGCCTTCGACGATAGGCTGAGTCTTGGTACTTAACGTATAAACATTCTTCGTGGCTCGTCTCTCTCGACCCCTGACGTTAGCGGGACGCTTAATTTTGTAAGACCAAATTGTAAATAATTTTTTGCTTAACTTTGGACTATTTACAATTTCCCGACGGTTATCGTTCTACCATTAGAAACGCTTCGACGTGAAGCGAGAGTTTTTTTTTATATTGATCTTAACAGTATCGATGCAAATTACTTTTTTTAAGCTCGCCCGTTAGTATTTACAGTTCTCGAGATATATCGTCTCGATCGTAAACGTTAACGGATACAGTTATTACCATAGACTAAGTAGAAACCCTGAAAAAGTGAGGCCTATCTAGTATTCGCGATTTTATACAATATAACAATGTCGTCAAAGCTAAAAAACATTGTTCTGCGATCGTATATGTATTGAGCATTCGCGAATTACGAAGATTCCAAGGATGCTTACCGGTAATCAGCGCGGTGTTCAACGTTTTCAAAGATCAATGATCGTTCTAATTGCGCGTGGAAACATTGCGTCTCAGTGTTTCGCGAGCGCGATTGTAGATAATTGACGATACCTTAGCGAAAATGTCTAAAACACAGCTCCTCCGACAGGATACGGTAGAAAAGAAATCATGAGATTCTACGCTTGCGCCGTCTAAGCGTTACATCAGACGGACATTTTATCTATTCGTACCAAAAATGCGATTACCGTTTAATTTGTGCTTTTCAAATATGATCGTCACCGATCGATAAGTTGTGACGTCTGTGTTCGAGCGAACACGAAATCTGTTTTAGGTCGTCGAGTTCTCCAAACGTGTCTGTCCGAGCTTGAGAGGGAATCACGTGGCGTTACTTTAACAATTTTCAAAGCTGTTATGCTTATTGCTTGTTGGACTTTAAATGCTGCCCTTCGAGCAAGGACTGTTCGAATGAAAACTCGAAAACGATGAATCGTGTTTTCGGGGTAGATCTCGTTATGTCGATTAGTGAGCGTTGTCCAATGTGGCCTCGGGATGATAGTAGACTGAGTACCTTGCTGGCACGACGAGGGCTTCCAGTTCGCCAGTCAGGTGTCGTCTGATCATGTGTTTGGCAGGCGGTATACCCAAGGCTGTGGCCATCGTGTCACCCGTGAAGGATGGTTCCAGCACGACCAGAGCACCGTGCACCCCCGAATCTATTTTAAAAATTAAACGATCTCTTTACCATCCCAAATAAAGAGTCTACATCAGACGAGACCATCGAACATAAACGTACCCTTCAAATTCTCAGCATATTCCGTTAGATCGATATTCCTTGCCCACCGAATGAACCTTTGATTCGTCCACACCAAAGGATCCGTGTCGACTTGCTCGCATTGGTGTCTTCTAACCGCGAGTGCCTGTCGTACACGATCAAGAATATTCCTTAAACACCTTCGTTCTCTGTACAAAGTAATATTATCATTTGAAGCAACGTCCAAATACCTGGCGATCGTAGTTCAACATCCTCAGCAAGTGTATGCCGTGCACGATGCTGGCTTGATGAAACTTCCTGGTCACGCCAAGAAGCTTCTCCAACTCTTTCTTGCTCAGGTGATCGAGCATCCGAGCGTCCACCATATTGGTAGCGAAGCTCTCGGAATATTGAGCGAGTCCAAGGTCGGGTAGCCACTCTGAGCTGACCCACGTGTGACCCAGTTGAGCGATGCACGGATATCGAACGAGACTCGGGTGTCGATGCTCCTCGATGGCCAAACGCAATTTCTTTCTGTGCAGGGGGTGCGTCACGCCCAACCCAGCTTCCAATTCCGCGTCGCTCAGCTCCAGCAAAACCTGAACAATTCAGAAATAAAAATAGAAAGAAATTGTAGTTTATTCTTCTCCGCTGTCACGCTGTGTTTTTCTGTATCATGATGGATAGTTACGCTACCTTTCCAGATTTAACATTTTCAGCGCATCGTGGACCGTATTGCGGCATACCAAGAGCGACCTCTAACCACGCCAGAACCGTGGGTGCTCTCCATCGCTCCATAGGAACGGATGCGGCTTCTCTGAGTAAACGAAGTTTCTCAGCGTAACCTTCCTCGGTGAGAGGCGACCATGATCTATAAGGATCAAAGCCGTCGGAGCCCTCGTTGCTACCGCTGCCGCCACTGGAGTTGTTTGCAGCCTTTCGATGCCGTGACCGTGCGAATACTCTGAAAATCGATAGAAAAAAACTGTCTTTCAGGTAGGAAGATGCTACGTTCTCGCGAAACACATCGATATGCCAAATAATACGGTGTGGTATTAATAGGAATAAGCTTGTAAAATCGCGATGGTTCGATCTTCAGTTTCTGCTCCACTTTCAGTTGAACGTGGATGTTAGCATAATCGTAAAGGTGTTTCTTACCTAGAAATAGAACCCCACGTGCCACCGCGAGTCGCAGAAGAACGCGAATGGGCGGCAGGTGCCGTGATAGGTGGATTTTTGTTCCTCCTCGGTTCCGATTCCAGCGGGCTCGACAGCTGCTCGACCGATCGCGATAAGGACGAATTGTCCATAGACCTGGAGAACGCGTTCAGGGGCGACAACGTGGGACTGCAGTCTTTTGGCGTGGTCGCTGCTGGAAAATAACGTTTCGATAGACTGTCGCCTACGACGAACTAAACACGTCAATTCTTGAGAGAAATACCTGCCACGTAACAATCAGTTATAAAATTTATGTATCGATTTATTTTCTTGTCGATAATATCTCGTCGAGAGTTGCATCAGTGGTGCACCACCTTTTTCTAGCGCATTTAATAATTGAAAATACACAGATCATCCGAATATTACGAGATACTTGGGACTGCAACACGTGCATGCGCATGCATCGGCCATACAACACAAGACAATCAGCCGATTGTCAGAGCGAACTTCGATATTAATTACGATTTGGCGGTGCCGAGTAGGTACATCAATAACACAGAGAATGAAAATCCCTACGGCCAACGACGTTGCTCGTAGTCGAAGCGATCACCCCCGATGAGGGAATGTTTATGCGCACAGACGCCACTTAAACAGGATTCACTGTATAGTCTAAAAACAAATAGACCCTACGCAGCGTTCTTTCACGTTCCCCTTTGAATTTATGCAAAACGAAGCGCGTTAAAGTTACATCTAAATGCATCGATCCAAGCGACGATTCCTCTCGAAACGAAGAATTGGCGACGAAGCAGACATCGAACTGGCACAAAGAGAGACGAACAAAGAAACGAAAAATATAGAGGTAGAGACAAAACAGAGAGAAAGAAAGACACACACGCACACAAAGAAGCACAGGGATCCTCTGTTGGAGGAGGACAACGATGAAGAAATGGAAGGAGACGACGATCAGCGATTATGTTTGGACACTTACACTGGTACATGTGGGATGGTGCAATGGAGGAAACCACGGAGATGCTGTCCATGTCGAGACCGCTTCCCTCGACCGTTATTGTCGGCGTGCCTGCGCGGAAATGTACAATGTAAAAAAAAAAAAGTCTTTCTTCAGACTCTTTTCCGCCACAAAGTCTGCGTTTGTCTTCGACGCGCGAGAGGTGCAGAGCGTGTAAAAAAAAAATACTCGCACGGATACCACGGCGAGTTTATTTAGTAAGTAATATAGAAATTAAGGAGACGAAGAAAATCGCACAGGTTGTATCCCGTCCGATTACAGTGAATTCTGTCTAAGGGCGTAAAATCCTCGTGTAAAAACTTATCTCGAGCTAATTCATCTTATTTGTCTCGCTTCCTCGTGAGTTAAAGAACGAACGCTACGTTTCTATTGTATTTTCAGCGATCGATTCAAGAAAATTGAACGATAAGCGTTTAAACGATCGTTTACCCTCTCATGATGGAAGAGTATACACATCTACCGTTACCCAGCTCAAAATTCGTGCACGTACATTAGGTTCGCTGTGTTCGCAGTCCCTATTGACCACGAGAGTGTTTGTCCTAGGCCAAATCGATCAATCCGTTTTAATGCACAGGCACGCGGAATTGGGTTGAATAATACATGAAGGAAATGCGCTCGATTAGTGCACCACCTACGTTCGGCTAACATTCGTGCTTGACGGAAGCCATCAAACTGTTTTTTCACCGACGATCCGACGGATGCACCGTAATGCACTTTAACCAGGCGATTAATCTTAGAACTCGTTAACACCTAAACGCAAGAATCGTTCCGACCCGTCTGACACTCGGATGAATAATAATGGCGATTATATCGCGCGCTGCGTTGCTTCGCTACTCCTCGCAGCGACTTCATTCATTGAGCAACGAATCACAGTCGGAAGATTACGCACTCGAAACGAATAATACACTTCGTGCTAAATTAACGGGGTTTCGTAGTAAAATGTAATTATTTATATACATAATACAACTTGATTAAACTTCACAGTGGTATTGCCCCTTGAATGATATCGTAAAGATCGTATTTCCAAAAGGATAAATCCAAGTTATCCTTACCGTCTGTGGTCGAATCCGAGAGGTTTCCACCCACGCTGGTGGCACCGCCGCTTTCTCTGTCGCTGGATCCCCTGACGCCGCTGTCCGCGCTGCAACTTCCTCGATCACCCGCCTGTCCACCTGACGAGCCTACACCTGCCGCATTGCCGACGTTCCCAACGCTCACTCCTAGTTCTGTGCTACCTAATGGCGGTTGAGAATTCATATGAGGGATGATACCGCAGCCTCCACCGCCGCTGCTACTTCCTGCGCCCGGTGTCGCAGCTCCATTCACGCTGCCCCTCGGGAACGAAACCAAGGATTCCTGGTCGCTCAAGCAGATACCGCCCCCGCCTCTTTCCGCCAATTGACGCTGTAACTGCACCAAACATTTCTCTTTGCATTCGGGGAATTTCGAGTGGTTTGCATATGGCGTTACTCCCTTGATATCGTCGCGTATTTAACGCGACACTGTGGTTCGCCCAGAAACGGGTAACGAGATTTAGGAAACTATAAGAAAGTAAAAGAATGAATTCCAAAGGTGAAACAGCGGTGAGCATAAATCTGGATCTAAATTTTAAGTCTGTAGAAATTGTCTGACAGCTAACATGTGGGGAAATTTTCATGGCCACCGTTGTAGAGATCCATAGATCAATCCTGTCAAAGCAAACAACGATACTCTACTGTTCGGTGCATACGGCTATGAAAATAGAGGATTATCTTATCGCGATGCTTCGACGTGGAAATACGGTATTGACTGAGCAATTGTCACAAAGTTCTAACCACAACTTTCACGAACTATTTGCACAGCGTTAGCTGTGTCTTGCTTTACACGTACTTCAGCCTCGTCACCGATGGGATGCAAACAAAGGCGGGCGAGCTGGAGAGATAATGCCGATCAAATTTCATTTGTTAGTTTCAGAAGTTGTCGCGGTGCAATTTTGGACGAACAAATACAATTTCGCGTAGAAAAGCACGCGTTTTAACCGAAGGATGCGGAAGAACGATGTGTATAACCGTAATTAAAATCTAACGCGCTGAGAACCAGTTTTTACGTGCAAAGGTTGGATTACAAAGTTAAAACGACACGCTGATCAAGTGGGGTCAGTCTATCCGCGGTGGGTTTTTGGCGAATCATTTTCGAATGGAAAAAGTTGCAACTTCATCAGCGAGGGAATTACTAAAATGAAACTAGGAATGGAAATTTCGCGGCGTGCGTGACTCTCGAGCGCATTCCAAGGCAACCCTCGGGCCATCAGTTTTAAACTCGTTAGCTGGAACCCCCGTTTATGCACAGCGTCGAGGACAATTTCAGGGGCTCAAAGCGGACTCACCCTTCTGGTAATTGCACAGCGCGCAAAGAAATGCTCCTTACCTAACTGCTCGTTACGTTGATTCCCAGTCGATACTCTTTTGTGGACTAAAACTATGTTTCTGTTCGCAGGACGAATCTACATTATTAACCTTGAGAGTCATTTTGCCTGGAACATTGGTAATCGTCGAACGCCAATGTCGATAAAATGCTCCGTTGCTGAAACTGTTCAATCCTGAGAAAATCCTGAACTTGCGTTCATTTCGATAAAGTTAATTTCCAAACAAGACTTCATTCCAAAGCAGAGTAATCTTCCAAGAGTATTTTGGTCTGTCTTCGTTAAAAGGTGAATCAACACGTCGGGGTAAACAAGCGGAGTTAACCAACTGCCACTTGCAGACGGAAAATATATTTTACTCCTCGAGGAAATTCTAGTTTCTAGGTACTCTTTGCGAAACGCTTCAACTGGCGGCCCGCGAAAAGATTACATTCGGCCAGCCTCCCCCGTTGGGTAAGGGTAGCCAGAAAGGGTCTTACCTCTTTTATAGTCGCGTGTGCGTGCGAAAGAGCGGCCTCTTTGTCGGCCAAACTGGCTGCCAGGCTGAGACTTCGATCTGCTTCGTCCCTCGCTGCCCTTAGAAGACTCCAGCGTTCCCTTTCCCGTTCCCTTTCACGTTCTTCCGAGGGTATGCCAACTCCTTGCTGCTGAAGGCGTCCTAAGGTCGCCTCGTTTTCCCGCATCCGCTGTAATCAACGGTCAAAGAGACCCATATCCGGGCAGTAACTCCACCCAAAACCACCACCATCTAACAATGCATGCACGCGCACAAAGTGTGAAAGACTTCTTTGAAACAAAGGGAACGCGGTATGATTAAACATCGCGACGGTGTCGTAATTACGCGTCATTCAGCGACGAAGGACTTATCAGTTTAACCGTACGATCAGCGATGATACGATTCCTTTTACGAGTCGCTTGAAAGTTGTAAAAATCTGCGTCGAGCGGTCACTTCTTCGCCCTTCTTCTTAAAGACATTGTTGCCACTCGATCGACTAGGGTAACTCGATACAGGTGCAATTCGTCGGGTATACAGGTGTCGTGTACCTTCGCCTATTAGCCAGCAGGATATCAGCTACGGAGAACTTAATCCACTTATCTTTCCCTCGGGCGCGAGTAACTTCACGCTACGTATAGCAGGTGTTGCAGCTGGTTTATCGGTTAAACTTTGGGACAACGCGATTATTGCCACTCCAACGGATCGGTCAGGTGTTACCCGTTGGCGAGTCGATGTTTCGGGGTTAAAAACTAGCGGTGCATCGGCGTTCGCGCGTGTTTGCGACCAGTCGAGCGGAAAATGGTGTCTATACTCGTGGGAAGACACGGTTATAAAAGGACGACCTCGTGAAATGGCCATTTCTGGTGCATTCTGGAAACGGAAAGTTCAAACGATGAAAACTCGCTGGTATAAATAAACGAGGATCAAACAACTTTTGCTTTTTTTTCTTTACTATGCTCTCGACGACGCATAATAATAACGTTCACAGGCATCGAGGATTACTAAAATATAAGAATTGAAAGGTTTCGAGTAAACGCACTCGTGTACCCTGGCAAAGTCGATGTTCTCCCCTTGGGCAACTGATGGTATAAGCGAAGAAAGGCAACGCAGGTTCGAAACTACAACGGTCCCAGGGTTGAAACATCCTGCAGCATATCCGCACAGGATGTTAACCGAACAGAAAGATAGATGAAAGGTTACCGTATCGAAGTACGCGATATCAAACAATGGATGTACCGCGTTACACGAGATGGATGAGATTGCCAGCGTGTTTCGCGTTTCTGTTTGAACAACGGAGGGTGGGGGCGAGGATGTTAAGCCGGCCGGATAAAAAATCATAGAGACGAAGGTTCTTTCTCTGCAGGAACGGTGACACGTCGAAGCCCGTTGATGATGAAGTGGATTACCTACGGCGCGACAAGACGGTGGAGGATAAAGCAAGGGGAAATTGACGGGTCGCTTTATGAGAGAGAAATTGCCCTAAGACTCGAAGAGAGACCTGTTTTCTTTCATGTCCCATTACGATGAAGCACGAGAACTTTCTAGTTGGACGATATCGCGTTCATTCAAGGGGTCTACGCGATTTTCAAAAAATCGAAATTTCTTTTTTTTTTTCACAGGGCGTAATACACCTGAAAATGCACTGCCTGTCAAATTTAATTAAGGTTATTTCATCAATTAATATTTTATCGAGTTTACAGCGCCAAGTGACTGTAATAGTTCATTCCAGCGATCCAGTTCTTTCGCTATGAAACGTATTTATGGCCGCTAATACGGAACACGGCGTTACTGGATATTAAAGTTTGCTTTTTTCCTTTCCGTAGATACTGCATGATGCATGGTCGTGTTCTTATGAAAACTCTTCCTCTCTCTCTCTCTCTCTCTCTCTCCGAGTAAACTCGATATTTTTCGCTCGAGCGTAATCCTGCGCTTCGTTTTTAAGCTTCTTTCAAGAATCGGTAAAGGTCGTGTTTGCAGGACAGTGTATTATTAATCTTTCTTTTTGTTAGATACCGAGAACGAGATCCTGTCAGGATGAAGGACGAAGAACGAGTTTTCGCGAAGGTATACAAGCACGGTAAGAACATCTAGTAATTTTCATACAGCTAACACTTTAAGCTGCTTTACCTAAGCTCTATTTCTCTATGGTTATTGTCGCTGCGACAAACAAGCTCGAAGTCGACTTCCGAAACAAAGAAATAGATAGTTTGCAAAGAAAAAATGCATATCCACTATTAACAACGATAAGTATGCTCTACTTGTGATGCACTACCGAAGTTCGATACCTGCAATTGTCGCCTGCCACAATTTCTCCCTAAAACGGACGAGCTCGGGACATCGATGGAGCATGAATAATGAATATCGAACGTTTGTGGTTTCGCGACTCGCTTTTTAGTAAGCGTAATCGGCGCACGTTGTTCATTTCGTGAAATTGAAATGACTGACAGTGCGTCGACGTCGCCTGTGAAACGATAACGGTGTCGGGGAAATGAGAAATTCCGCCAAGTTTAATGAAAGTATTTAACAAGCAAAATTGCTCTGCCATGTCCGCGTTCTGACCCGCAAACCGGAGTCGAGGAAACTGAAATGCATTCCCATGGACCGTTCGTCGAGCACATTTCCCTCAGGAACTCTTCGCTCTTATTTTTCTTAATTTAAATGTTCCAGATGAAATTTAGAGGGTTTAATAGATCCCGATAATTGTACTAACGAAGACCAAGCAATCCAATTCCGCTGTTTTGTAATCCAATTTCCTCAACTTCGCGTCGCTTTTCGTTGATTAAACTGTTCTCTTATAAAATCCGAACATAGTGCAAACGAGACTCAAACACCGTTATTTCCATGACACGGCGCTTGTGAAAGAAGGAGATTGGACTCACCTGTTCGTAGTTTCTTATGAAGTCGCGCAATTCTCGTTCCTTGTCCTCCAGAGTGCCATAGAGTGCCTTCATTTGATTGAGCAGATCGAACTTTTCGGCCTTGAGCCTCTTTCGATCGGCCTTGAGGACTTGCAGAGCTTCCTTGGCGTGCTGCAGCTCCAGCTCGAGGGCGACGAATCGCGCCTCTTCTTCGAGGGCTGCGTCCTCGGAACCGACTTCACCGCGAGCTGCTCCGCTCAGGAGCAATCTCCTCAGTCTTGCTACTTCGGCTACCAGGCGTTCGTTCTCCAGTCGTAGCCTCCTCGTGCTAGCCAGCTCCACGGATCCGCTGCTACCTCCGCTACCGTGCATGTTCGACAACCTGGACGCTACCAGCGGATCGCCAATCCCTGAAAAAAGTATCGATGATGTAGAAGAAGACAGTTGATTTTAGAATAGTATTTCTTTTTGCAACTGGAATTTACGAATCCTAGGCAGATTTATTTTCTTAAACGTTTCATCTTCATAATTAAGGTGTGCTCGCAGCGCCTAGCGACTTGGATGGTTCGTTTAATTGTAGGAAATCGTAGGAACGCGAGGTCGAGCGAGTCCGCTTGTGGAACAATCGCAGACAGCGAATGTACGGGAGCGAAGTTGAAAGGGAAGGGCTTCCATAATTAAATGCTGGGTTACCCACCCAGGGAATTAGCCGGGGACGAGGGTCTGCTGCCTGGGGCTGGTCCAGGTGGTTCATTGTCCTCTTCGACCCGCACCTCGCCATCCACTAGATCCTTGTCGATATCCTTCTCGTGATCGTTCGTTTCCTTGCTGGATCGCAGGGAGTCGCGATTCGTCGATATTCGCAGTCTCTCCACGCTCGATCGATCGCTGCCACCGCGATGGAGGAAGTTGCTTCTGTTGGTAGATCCTCGATCCGGACTGGCGCTGCCCGATCGAGAGTCGACGCTTCCCCCGGAGCCACCCAGCCGTGTCTTCTCCAGAGCTGGGGCGAATGGTCGTCGTGCTTTCTCGCTTGGACTGCGACTCGGGGACCCATTGCGCTTCTCTGGAACGAAAATATCTTCATTGAGTCCTTGCAACTTTGGAAAAATTCGATCGTTAAACAATCGTCCACAAGAATCCATATGTTGCTTTCAAATATTTCTAATCTCCTAAAATTATCTAACGTAAAGTTGTCCCGCGCCCATGGCGAAATATTCGCGGACGTTTTCCATCGCAGAGCTCGCCCGCGCCTCGTTTTTAATTTTACTCCGTAAACATCCGACGAAAGTTTAATCAAAGTAGAAGGTTCCGCCGATGCGGAAAGCGTCGCGAGCAAAACGTTTCCGGTAAAGTGATTAAATTCGTTGCATCTCACGGCGAGAGATCATGCGTTTAAAGAGTAACGCAATCTCCTGCTGGTCACAGACGAGACCAGACAGGGGCTACGACAGGTGGCGCGGGGGTGGTTGCGTCGTTTCCAGAGAGACCGTTACAAGTTGGACGAGGAAAATGGTGAATCATGGTCAGTCGTAAAACTGGCAGCTGGTAACTCTGAGATATAAGCTACACCGTGTTCTGAAAATCATGATAAACTTTCCAGGTGCGAACTAGAGCTTTGAATTACACCGTGCAACTTTTTGGAAAGATTTACATATGTCTGAAAGCTGGTTGAGGCGAACAAAAGGAACGTTGGGAACTGGAAATGGTGGAGCAAACTTTCGGTTAGGATACAAATTTCAAATGAAAGAAGATTCAGACGTTACTCTGTTACTTGTATAGAGGCTTTAACTCAACCTTCCTCGATCCGAGATAGAACCCGAAGAAGGCACACGTACCTATGGGACTGGCTCGTCGATCGATAGGACTAGTTCTTTCCTTCCTATCGACAGGACTGGTTCTCTTATCAATAGGACTGGCCGACTTGTCACTGGCAGAACTCCTCTTCTCCACAGGGCTGCTGCCAGCGCTGAGCCTCTTGCCATCCTCCTGCGATTGCTGCTGAACCTCGCTGGTCTCCTGCGTCCCAGGATTGCTGTTATTCGTGGCGCTCCCCGTGGCGTTGTTGTTGCTATTGCCTGCAGCGGGGGTGCTGTTGCCAGCCCCGTTATTGTTGTTTAGCACCACGGGCAAAGCGCCGCGAACATCCCTCAGCTCGCCTCGGAGCGTGGCGCACTCGCCCCTAGCTCGTTCCAGCTCCCCGTCAAGCCGGGCGCCAGTCGCTGCGTTCTCCTCTACCATCACGCGAAATTTTGCCTGGAAAACAGGAAAATTGACGGTTAAACGATGGTGCAGGTGTGCGAAACGCTGAAAACTGGGGTGGACGTTGATCCTCGACTAACGAGGAGCCACCTCTGCTGCGGAACACGTAATTGCTGGAATTTTAGTATCGGGTTGGTAGGAAAATTATGTCCGTAAAGTTCGAAAACCGACGTTAATTTCTTACCGACCTAATATTTTATTATCGCGGAATCATTCGAATCACGGAGCCATTCGATCACAGGCCTGCAAACGAATCTGGGTAGACGTTAATCAAAACTTTTCGCTGGTTCCTCCGCGAATGGAATAATGGATCTCTTGTTTGCTCGACGAGGCCCATTCCACGTCAGCGAGAGAAAGAAAGGATGGAAATGAAAGAGATAGCAGCGAAGGTATCCGAGGAGGAGAAAGTATCGATAGTTCCGCCAAGTTGCGACCGGGTCGTAGCTGCGTTTGGCGAAGTTGTCGAACGACTGACGCGACCAAACGCGACTGGTGATAAAAGTTTTAGCGATATTAGCAAAGCTACGGAACGCGAATCTCATTGTAAGCTCTCCTCCCATTGTACAACTCGCTTCGAACGCTCCTCGTCGCGAAGTTTCCGTCTGTTTCACCCCTCTAACAAAGGATTACTTGGATACTTAACACACGATGTCTTTAAGCTGCTGTTAGGAGACGCCAGTTGAGAGCTAATACGACGATGGCTCCAGTTCGCCAACTCCAACGTGAAACGCGAGTTTCCCTGTATCACGTGTCCATGGATGTCCGCGTGTTGTTATTATCGCTATAAATTCTTTCCGACTCGTGACGCGTAAATAATTGAATCGAGTAATCGCCAGGTGGTGCAAGTGAAAATTGATAAAATCACGTTTCGCACGGTCAATCGCGTACGGAATGTGATATCAGTCATCCTCGGAGACTGATCGCCCTACAAAATGATTGATTGCACTCTCGGTCAGATAAGAACCGTAGGGTGGAGGATAAACGAAGAGAAGAGGGAGTCTACGGGCAGCGGTGAGCCACTCTGTTGGCCAAGTTCCAGGAACACAAAAGGATAGGCTGCGAGGATAAAGGCGTCGCGAAACTTGTTGCGTTCCCAGAGGCGCCTTCGGTTTTCCCTTCATCGTGAAAACCCCCGCAACGACCGTACTCACGCCCATCTAGCACCTGTGCATCGCGCGATCGCCGATAAATTTCTGTTCTACCGGAGATCCTTCGCCGCTGAAGAGCTCCGCGCTCAGGTTCGTACTTGAGAGTTCAGATTTTCCGATCTACGGTACATTTCGGTCGTTTTGGGAAACTTCTGTCCCGTCCTACTCGTTTCTATGATTATCCGTTTTCTCGATAGCATCGGCTGCGTTAATTAAAACGTTGGAACAAAGGATTTATTGCTCGTCGAAAGCCACGAGTCGCTTCCCACGATCCTCGAGTTATGGCAAACAGTTTCGCTGGTACGTTAATTGCATCGTCGAATCTCGTTGGAAAGTTTATCAAAGATCAGCGGGAAACTAGCATCGGAACGATATCTGTTCGACTATGCGTCTGGATAGTGTCGATAGCATCGACCGCAGGCGGTTCCCTCGCGACCAAAGAGGTTTTATTCTTCGACGAAGATGTAATCTCTGAAACGTTGACCTATATGCCAACCCGAACTACCGATACGGCTGGTAACAGGGCGCACGTTATGTGCACATGCTGCGGGCTTGCACACACGGTCCTTAAACACATAAAGCATCTCGAGCCATTGTAATGAAGTTGCGGTAAACTGAGCTGCGTTTACCTTGCCATTCCTGGCGTGCTGACTTGGTATTGTTCGACGACTTCGGTTTATTTAATCGACGTTATTAACATTTACGGCTGATTCGATCGAGTCCGGAGATTTAGAGACTGCCCTAGAGGAACGTTGATGGAGAAACATTTGGATTACGAGTTAAGGAAGACGATGCTGTAATTATCAAGTTTGCCGGTGCACGCGACGCTGGAAAAATAAGACTAGCGTTAAAAATGAAGAGAAGTGGTCGAGAGAGCCGGGGGGGGGAAGAGGAATGACGCGGAGAATGAGCATTACGGGACCTACTTGAATTTATGAAATTGCAATTTCAGCCTCCAGTTCCACCGCACCAGAGCAATTTATCTCGCGGTGCAAGGAAGGAAAATAATCCCTTTCCTTCGTTCTTTTTGCCGCATTTTCTATCCCTCCGGTGACCGTAACAGCCTCCGCGAATATCATTCTCGAATGTTCCTTAAACCAACAAATTGGAGGATCTACGAGCCTCCTAATAGAGAGTAACGAGCGAATCAAAATCGTATCACCGCGCCCGCTGATATTTCCGACTCGCACGTGGCTACTCGCGAGTGCGCGATATATTCCATTATTATTACTCTACTCTCAAATGCAGAGCCGAATTTAGTACCGAGCTTGAGCTTGATTTCGTTCTACTTTTAATTGGGACCAAATATAAAGCACTCAAAGACATCGATTTAATTTTATTGTAGCAAGTTTCCAATTTCTAGCAGGTATTTCTAAAAAATAGAGAGATTCTCCTCTTTCAAAGAGATGTTCCATCAGAGATTATCTCGCTCTTCTCTTTTGGTTTCTTCGATGAGTACATCCATTTGTTAGTCTTTCAGCGTGTTCGATCGATGCGAGTACTCCCTATTACTCATCTCGTCTTGCCTTTGCCGCTAGTTGGCCAAGGAATGGAAGAGGTTTTCGTCAAAGTGGTCTGCGTAGACTGAACACGAACTAACTTTGACAGATTCTCAGGCAGAGGGCTGGGGAGACGGGAGGACTTCTGATCGAGTTTCTAGATCTCTATCGGTTGGCGAATATTCTCTTAGCAATCGACGATTCCGAGGGACGGTGCTTCTGCGATCGAAACCAGACATACAAGATCTACCCGTGTATTACTCAGCAGGGAACAATGGTGACCGCGTTACACTAACTCCCACTTTCCGGTGACAGAACTGAAAGCGTCGGTTCACTCGCGAACCGGGCCTGGGTAGCTAATTTTATCCAACTGATAGGACTTTAATTCTAAGTATCATATATGATATAAAATTCAGAATTTAGAGCTATTCTCTGTATATATAATATCGTAGAAATAAATTGGTCTGGCCTATGTTAGAAACAAAGATTTTTGAAAGAGTAAGTTTCCAATGTTAAACTGCGTTAGCTTAATGAAATGCATCTGGTTTCGAGTACAACACGTTAGAAATGGCGTTTCACATTCAAACCACAGAAGGATTGCGGTCATTCATAACCGCGGAAGCTTACGGAATTAGCAGCAACGAGGCTGCGTGACACGAAACAACAGGAAACGCGGACCGCCATGCTATTTAAATCATACGTCCCTTGTCGAGTTTCTGATGTAGGTCAAACTCAAATTACACACCACAAAGTATTTTAGGATATAATTTCTACGATCAACGTGCAGTGTTTGGACCTGAAAACTGTCGCGCCGTTTTCAAGCGTGAAAAGAGATTTAATCGATACAGGTTTCGCGACAAACACACCGGATGCCGGACTAATACTCCTGAAAATTTCTGAAATATTTATTGCGGTATTTATTTTTCTAATTTCATTGAGATTCAAGAATTACAATTTATTATTCTCGATGCTTGACGTTCGGAATTAATTTTGTTAGTTTTTCAGTGAAAAGCGTTGTCATTCGTACGAATGGCCGACGTGAAACAAGTCACAGAGTCTCGAGAACGAGGCAATAGAAATAAGATCAACCGTCGCGATCATTCCAATTAATTCGTCCCGACTTAATCTTTGACGAAGGATCGTCAAAGAGCTTTTTGATGGCTGACGCTTCTTGCGATTCCGGAAATTACTTTCCTCTGACTTTCCGGTTTCGCAACTCGTTCCGCGTCGCCGCGATTCGCTGGTTGGCGCAATTAAGGTGCATCCGAGTTAACCCGTGTAACTTGGCGCGAGCGTCGCCTCGAATCGGGAAAACTTGCCCCGAGAAGAAGGGCCGCGCGATGACGCGACGGAGGCCCTCATAGTTCTCGAAAACAATTAAATCAGTACACATCTCGTTAACCTCGCTTTGCGAACAGCGGCGATCCGTTTTATTGCGCGGTCGCAGCTGGTCGCCTCGTAGTCATTACGAAACGACCTTCTCCCTTCTGCACTTCGTTATCCCCGTCACGCCTTCGTCCTTATCCAACTTCGGCCCCATTTAAGAGCGCTGTATTCCTTCCGACTTGCTCTCGTTCTCATAACTCCAGCAGCTTTTTCGCTCGTATTTACTTTAAAAAGAATATATAGAGAAAAGGAAGAAGTTTTGGTACAGCTAAGAACCACTGGTGTAATTAATGGACGAGTCCGAGCGACGAAGGATTCCTCGAAAGCTGTGAATAGGAGCGTGCTACATTCACGGGAATGCAGCATGTCCGAATCAGGTCTCCGAATACGAGTCTTCACCGGGAAACCGGCGTCGCTGGTAGCCAGGGGGTTAATTATAGACACGAACGCATAATTTCGGCCGCGTTAAGTTTATATTCATCTGTCACGCTCTGAAAAGGTTCACTGCACCCTGGCATACTATGGCACAGGCTGATACGGCACGATTCGCAATTAAATGTTTCGCGTAGTAACTCGCCACGGAAGAATTTTCGTACGTCTTTGTCCGAACGATGGCGAACGCGCTTTGATCTTTCCCTCCTCCTACAGGCGAACCCTTCGGCTAGGAAGTTGAAAGCGAGTCGCACAAAACTGTACAAAATTCCAAGCCGATTCGTGGCTAACGAATATAGTATAAGTAACGATCGAGATAAAGAAGTGGTACAGGAATAAAATCTCAAAAGACGCTCGACGTAAAAATATTCCAAAAATAGCGACAAATTAAATCGATACAGACCAAGTTCTCGCTCTTTCAACTCCCGAGACTGCAAACCACTGAGTTGCTATTCTCGCGAGATTCTTTCCCGATCCTGAGATTAAATCCAGAGAATATTGCAGTTATAAAAAAAAATGTTGACAATGAGTTCCTCCATCGCGCGTGCTCGCCTTCGACCACACGCTCCAGCGAGAGGTGTGCGATCGGTTAAACTCTCGTGTATTCATCCGCCCTGAAAGGGATCGCGAGAAAAATTCTCAGCTGGGTGAAAGATGCACGTACATTTGCACACGTACCACTGGCACGAAACGCGTTATACCACCAATCGATTCCGCTCCATACCCAGAGAGGGAACTCGGAGAAAGCCGAAGGTGCATTCATTGTTAACGCGGGCGCAAAGTACCGTGCCGGGTAAACATATTGGAAAGATTTCTGGGTCACGATGTCTGCTAGTCTTAATCAGGCTACCAGTGTATTCCAGCCGTAATTCCAACGTGACGTTAATGCGTTCTCGTGCATTAGCGGCAACGACTTCCTTTGCGACGCTATCAGGAAACCTCTCCAGGGGGAACGGCGTGCTCGAACTTGAAGCAGGGTAAAATATGCCACATCGAGTTTGTAGCGAGCGTATCGTGTGACGTATATTAGCCAGCTCCTCGTCCACCATTTCGAGCGATCGCTCGAGGAAAGCAAGAGGCTGGGAACTGGGACGTTAACGTAAAAGCAGTGGTAGGCAGTAGTGGACACGTTGGAGTGTCTTCCTCGTGCGAGAGGTACTACGTTTCCTTTGCTTCCTGTCGGATTGCCGTGCCAAATCATTGGACCAGGCAGTGAATCCTTCTTAGCGGAAGATAAGATTTTAGTTGCAGTGTTCTACTCAGTTTCTAGCCCAGCGCTCGAGAAAGCCAAAGGGTTGGAAACTAGGACGTAAACTTAACATAAAATTGGACACTTCTAAATGGGAGCTTTCCTACATAGAAAATGTTTAACAAACCAGTTATCTATCGAGACAAGTCTCTTTAAAGTCTCCTGAAAACACAGAATACCATGAGATTTTCTAATGAATGAAAAAGAAACAATTGCAAGAAAACAATGCTTTCGTTGCCTGAGAAACGAAAGCAAAAAAAAAAAAAAAAAACAAATACGCAACGATAAACGTTTTGTGGGAAGGCTCTCCTAGTCGAATTGGAAGCTCGTGGTTTTTCGCAGATCATGCGCTCCGTTAAATGAGCAATTCGCTGTTTCGCTCCAGCCGGAGGGTGATCGTGGAAAAAGGGTCCGCGTTTCAAATGCAAATAGGAACACGCTACGCGCATAAGAGAGCGAGCTTAGCACTCTTCAGAGGTGATCGCGAACTTTCCAGCGCGATAAAGTGTATAAAAGCAATTTAACCCCGCGGCTCGGCGTTTCGAGAACAGAAATAACAGGAAGGAGGTGGATTGTGAGAATCATTTCGAGTGCTTATTTCTAAATAGTCTGCGTCTTTCCGTTCGTTTTTTTTTTTTTTTTTTTTTTTTAAAGACGGTGACATTAGTTTCAGAAACGACTAAAGTTGAAACGAGGCTTTTAGATCGTGCGATAAAAATTGCACTTTTGTCAGGAACGAGAGAAAAGAAAATTATTTTCATTTTTGTATAATTGTGTACTAAGAGAGAACAAGCAGCGCGATTTAATCAACGAAACAAAACAAAATGCCGCGACTGGCTCCCCGAGTCTACTCGAAGATCCTTTCAACGACACAATTTTGTAACTAACGAGTGCTCGCGCAACCAGACAGCATTGTTGCAGTAATTACTGGAATTGATTAGTAGAGCGCAATTAGAAGTTAACGGAATGCGCGCAACGCTGGGTCTCGCGTTCACTTCAGATTCCGTGTAGCAATCCGAGGTGAGGATCGTAGTTTTCGAGTGGCTTTTTTTCCCTTCGTGGCCTGATTCAGTTCGCCTCGGCCGTTGGGGGGAAAAATAAAGGAATGCAAATTTAATTACCGGAGTACTCAGCATGTCGACGAACACCGAGTACATTTCCCGCTCGCCAACACTGGCGACGTTTCGCGAATTTTAGTTTAAATTAATCTTGTCACCATATTTCGTGCGTCCTCTGACTGGCTGGCCCGCTTTCGCAAGATCCGCGTTGCTACGTAACTCGTTTATAACCCGGTATAATGCGAACAAAATGTTGAAGTAATTCGCGTTAACCGAAGCGACAGCGTCAGCGTAAATGGGCTAATTACCTCTTTTCGGGGCACTTTACTTTCTCAAACCGTGTAACGCGAGCTTAATGAATCGTTAATTTCTACTTATTCGACGCTGGAAACATTTCTTTAGTTTGTCGCCTCGGAAGAACTATCAAACGCTCAACGCCATGTCGGCCGTACGTGGCTGACAGAATTTTCACTGAAGAACTTGAACAATTAATTCGTAAATATTTGTGATGGTATAAAAAAAAAGGTACGACAAACGTTAGATTTTACAGTTTCCAATTGCCTCGAGACAACATTTCAGCCTTGTAGACATTTTCATGCGAATTTTCTGCTTGTACTTGAAAATAATCAACGTCGCGTGCGAGTAAAATATTTTTCAGAAATAAATAGAAAAATGTGAATACGAGGTGGCGTTTTATACCGCATGAAAAAAAAGTCTCGTAAGAGGAAACTCGACTGAGTTCACTTCAACGTGGGAGTCGGAAAGGTGGGAAATCGAGAAAGCACGGTATAAAAGTTTGCGTCCCTATTTCACGCGCGTGTATCCACGCAGCACGCGGGCATTATACGTGCCTTAGCGCGGAATGTAACGGATTAACCCCCTTACGGTCGCATGGCGAATGGTATTCCCGAAGCGATTCTTCGTAGCGCTGTAGAAAACGTCGTTTGTCGGTGATCTCGCCGCGATCCGTTCCGGGTTCTGGAAATAAGAGTTGTCGAGCGAACGAACGATGATCCGTTTTCCAAGCTGATTCGATGGAGAAAGAAGTGGTATCTGCTACCATTGCGCGTGTTTCAAGCTAGAGTTAAGTAGTAGTGGACGGTGACTGGACAGACGATCAGGCGATCAGCCTGCCAGTAGAGTTGCCGCCCCATTCTAGCTCAGACTAAATTGACGGATTCGTCGCTTAGCACGCGGCTACTACTTAATGTATCAAATAAACAAAAGGAAATACGATTTTCGTTAAAAATTGTTGGCATAGAGCAATGTTGAAATGGCAATAAACATTTTAAATAAAGAACTAACTAACTCTACTCGTTTCGCGAAATGAGAAATCATTTAATATTTGAGAAGAAAATGAATAGCCAATTTTTGAATATTCTTTAGCTAACGATCAAATATTTGTAAAGCCCTGTGTTGTCTTAGTTTCTGTGACCCAATAGCCAAGAATCTGGCGCTATTCGGTGAGACTCTTGATCGAGATTGGGGGAACGCGTTTTCTTTCGATTTCCCAGGGATTCCAGGGTTGGTGGGGAAAACGGAGGGTTCGGGTTCGAGAATGCGTAGCAGTGGCGCGTTGAACGAAAAAGGGAGCCTCGAAGAGACGATGGAGAAGAGAGGATTCACTGTGAAGCGTAGCGGGGTACCACTTAGCGGCTCGACAAACACGCCGCACGGTACGCTACCGCGGAAAAAGGGCTGGAAAAGAGGGTGAGACGGATGCAAGAGGCGGAGGAGCGTCTCCTGATTTTGCATTTTTCATTTAGTCCCTGTCCCCTTTTTGCTCGAGCGCATTGGTAAGTGCGCGTGATTCATGATGCACTCGGTGCAGATCGCTAGTTAGCATAGAAACCAGTAATACAGGACAACAATGCGAACAATGTCTCGTGTCGCGTACCAGCGAACGTCGAGTCTTTTGTTCGCGGACCTATTATGCATTTCAATTTCTATATTCCGTTTAGGCGACCTTGTATGTTTTCTATTTTCCAACGACTACCGCTACTTTCGTTCGTGACATTTTCACAGGTGTTTATACAGGTTACTTAGCGGTTATCGTTAATAAACGATACGAAATCGAGCAGTCGCGTTGTTCGTAATCGTGGATTACATTTTGTCCACGGTAGTGGGTGGGCATAGACTCCCAGAGAAGGGAAGCCTGCTGGGAAACGATCCCCGTGGAATGGGAGCAACAAAAATTCACGGGCAAGTGAAACGACGCCGCTTTATTTCATTTCCGTGGAAAATTGTTCGATATATCGACGCGTGTTTTGGCGACTGGCGTACGATAGGGTGGCGTTTAATTAAATCAATAATAAAAGGGATAAATAAACTGCGTGATTCCGAGCGGACGAATTACCGTGCCCTGTTGTTCCTGTCTGACGGAACTCGTTACGATTCGCTGGTAATTAAATCGAACGCTGAAAGAAGCTTAATTATTGGTTTTCAGCGACTGATCCTTTAACCTTAGAATTAATATACAGCGAAATATCCATTGTTCGAGAGAACAGAGGAACGCGATGCTCGATTCGGATATTAATATATTTTGGAACAGATGGATATTAGCCTTTTATAAACTAATTTACGTTCAATGGATTCATAGTGCTCACCTGTGCATCTGCGAGGATGCGACGCATCAAGGCCAAGGTGGGGTGCGTTGTGAGATCATCTTGGAGGGCAAGTGCTTCACCTTCTTTGTTCAAACGGTTTAGTGTAGCGAGAGCTGAAACAAACCGCAAAAATGCAAAAAAAAAATTACTTGGAATTTCGACAAGCTATGCTCTCATACGAGTAATTGTCTCGCATTTGTTGATTATATACGCAATTATATACAGACGACTCCTTCTCTTCCAAAATTTAAAGATGGTTCACGCGGTAAATACAAGCGAGCGAAGAATACTCAAAGTTCCCAGCAAACATCATTCACAGCACTACTTGATATAAAAAGTATTTGTGATATGTATACTATAATAAATGTAACACACATTCGTGTCACGTTACGACGCCTTCTTATACCTCCAAGAGGATTGTTCTCGGTGATGTAAAATACAAACTTATACATCCAACATTTCCGAATACAAACCTCGATCTAACATCTAACATAAGTTGGCGAGCGGGAATCAGGCGAATCAGTGGTCACGATTCCGTCGGTGCCAATTCCCAGACTATGGTAGAACTAATGACATCAATGTCGTCGGGTACGACACCGCTGGAGACTAATGCGCGAGCTGCGCGCTTTGGGAGATCCGGCACGTCCTCTCATTAACTGGGTGGATCTGGTGAAATCGGTATCCGGGAAATATCAAGGGATGCGTGCCAGTAAGCAGGTCGAAGTCCTCCGCGAGGAAGACAGAGCGACGGCAAGAACCATGGGATTCCCAGCTACCTAGGTTTGAACCGACAAGATGGCTGTCTCTTGACTCGTTCATCTCGCATTACGTTCACCGAGTCGTTTCAGCGACGGGATAATTGAATTCTCGAGGCACGGTAGTCGTGGGCGCGAAGGTGGAAAGACCCGAGGGGTGCCAAACTGTTATCGACAAGTTCGTGAGAGAAGCTCGTTTCGGGCGCGGCCCAGAGACGGGTACGCGCCATCCCTTAACCGTCCTCCCTTTCCTCCTCGTTGCTGATATATCGCGTTGGACTTTCAAGTGCGCTTTGATGTAGAATGCGCGGCAAACTTCTGGCAAAGGCGGAATCGTTTGGGCTCGATTAACTCCACGGGGAGGATCTTTTTAATGCCCAGCGATTGCCTCGTCTGCTCTTCCCTCGGTTGCAACAAATTTTACGATGCTACGTGCCGAATTCGACGCTAAACAAATGTGTTCTCTATAGCTAGACGTAATAGAAATACGTCAAAAATCCTATACCGAGAGTCAGAGGGTAAAAATCGCGTAATTGCTGGTGTTCGTTTTCGTTCGCAACATAATTGCTCGAATTTCAGAATAAATTAATCGAGAATGTTAAAGGGCCGAGCGGGGCAACGATTTTCTTATCTCGTCGCTTAATTACTGGAACAGCGAATTTCTTGATGAAAGGGCGCAACGCCCGCATCAAGTGCGAACGGGATACAAGCATAACGCAATTACGTTGTGAGCTATTTGTTCCGCGGAGGTGGGGCACGAGATGAAATTAGCGAGCATGTTAAGCGAAACTGAGACTCGGGAACGCGGTGAAACGTCGTCGAAAAACGTTGCGACCAGAAATTTTCGGTAAAATATGCGCCGTCCGCGAAACGTAATTTTCATTTTGGAACACGCGGACGGACATACATTCCGCTGGAATTCGCCGAGGAGAAATTCCTGCTACTTGTATAAACCCCTGTTTCGTTTCTTATTTCGGGTTATCGAAACTAATATATTCCATTTGCTGAAATTTCGCCTCATATTTTCAAATATTATTTCGTCGATATTGTTTGACATTAAACCTACATGTTTCATGTATTATTGGATCAAGTACGACGTAAAATATTTTTCGATTCAAACGAGAAATGTGTGTTTAAAACTAGGCATTTGTTCGATCACGGTAGAAACAGGTACAAATGAAACCTCGATAGGTTCGGTGTTAAATTGATAAAGTAGAGTCTAGCTTTTATCCAGAATCACCGATTCAATTACGACAAACTTCCCAAAACACACGTGTAAACTGTAAATTCCACGACACCCCGCGCGGAGTCTAAACGTGATTATAGTGGCGCAGTTGCGCATTAATTTCATTATTAGGTCCGTTTGCCAGTGGCGATATGGTTGCCAGGGTCTCGACAGATAATACCGAGGACCCCTAACACCGTTAACCGTTCCCCAGCTCGAACTTTCCCTAATTCTATTAGCGGTCGAAGTTGGACAAAATTTATTCCTGATAAAGATTAAAGAATTCTTTACCGGCGCATGAAACTCGGAGTAACGAGTTTCTTTCTATTCCTAGGGAGAATTTCTCGCGTGAGTTCCGTGACTGCAGAAGTGTGGAGAAACGCTGAGAAGAGCGGTGTTTCCATAAAACCGATGTCATCTCCAGAAGATTAAGATTGTCTTTTTATCAACGAAGCCGTTAAGGAAGAAGGTACCCGTTCCGTTCACGGTGCTCGCCCACCTCTGCGTTAATCCTTCAATTAAATCTCCGAAGGCTTCAGGCTCGCTCGAGAGCACTCTTAACGAGTGCGTTGTCTTTGACCGTAAGGAAATCCAGAAGACTGCGGAAGCGTCCAGCGTCTCGAACGCTGTTTGAACTTCCCGGGTACCGGAGTCCACTTTGCATGATTACATCCTATTCCCGCGAAGAAGACCGTCGCGTCTGGCGTCGTCGCGGCGATCGAAGATTGTATTACCGTATCAAAGAAAATAACGTACGACCGTGGCCGATCGCGATCTTCCCACTGGCTCGTTCCGAGTATCATAGTTCTCGTGCTATTTTTAGCACGTTCATGCGAGACAACGCTGCAGACATGTTCCTGCAATCGACGTAGCCAGCGACATGCATCCGTATCAACCGAATAGCGATGGGATCACCTTCCAGCCATGGCGCACACTTTGTGGGTGGTAGATCATTTCTTTGGTAACGGGTCCTATTTGTTTTCACGTTGTTATAGTATTCTAAGAGACCGAAGGACTCTAAAAAATAGAACATGGAGATCAAATACACGGCTAATCCAGCACCCTGTGATTCGCGTTCTCCTGTGACTCCATCTTCTTGGATATTGGAGGCATGGATACCCCGATATGATTTCTGATCCAGTATAATTTTCGAACGAAGCATCGGAGAACTTCGTCTTGGTACGTCCTCCGCGTTTTCTTCCGTACTTTGGATCGTCTGGAAGACACCCAGTACTTGGCGTCGGGTTACGGTCAGGCGCGTGCATTAAAGCACACAGAAGACCACGGCGTAGACCCAACCGACCCTTCCAGGTGGTATATAGGTCTACGTGCAAACACGCGAGCACGTTAAGTGCGCTTCCAGCGCGAGGTCGCTATGATACCAGCAGGGAACCGCTAAGGGGTTAGCCTGATATATGGGATAGTCCGATATTATACGCCTATGCAGCGAAACAGGGATTCTTTATAGGCTCTCGCGGAAACTGAAGACCTACTCGGTGTCCCTGGGTCTGAGGCGAAGATGGAAAGGTGATGTGCGCGTAAAAGTCCCAAGGGAACTTTGTAAGAGAGAAGAACGGGCGAAAGAAAGTCAAAGCCGGGAAGAAAGTTCAAGTTAGGAGCATTGTACGGTATTAATAGGTACTTCGATCGATTTTGCTTCCTATAATCCGTGATTGGAAGACATTCTCTTTCTCCGTTACGAAAAGCGAATCGATTCGAGGGCCTGGGGGTTTAAAAGCCTGTAAGAAACACCATTAAGCGTCTTGGAAGGTGAGACTTTAAATCTAAGCCACGCACGTCGCGTATTCTGTCCCTGAATCGGAATTCTTGTGCTATACGCGTCGATAGTTACACGTACCACTCTGTAAGAAAGTATTAAAATACTCAATTATTATACAGTCGGTCCTATAAATATTCGTACCCTCTGTGTTTATCAAAGAAGTTTGTCTAAAGTAAATGACAGATTTGGTGTATCCGAATAAATTGTTCGTTATATACAAAGTGTGTCTAAAAATGATTCTACACATAACGCATGTACAAAAAGGATCGTACACGGTTTGGACGGGCGCGTCCGTGAAAAGTCGGTGCAAGAAGAAGGCCCAAGCTCGTCGCACCTCGGTCACCATTTTGGTATCGCTGCAGCGTCCCGCTACTATACCGTGCCGAAGGAAGTACTAGCAACCAATCACCAAAAAAGCCCCATGTGCACCGAAAGTAATCCCTGAACCATTTGTTTCCTCACCAGACTCACCTTCCTCGAAGGGCTGCGCCCGTTTAGCGAATGCCCTCGAGAAAACTCCGCGCGGCTTCGTGGCCTCCACGCCGTTTTCTACGGCTGCGCTCATTTTTCTGAGTGGTCCTTCACGGAGCTTGTATTGCCACGGCGTATAAACGGACCATCTGAAATTTACGTTACACTCTAGATTTTTTGCCTTGAAAAAAAAAAAAGACAGGGAAAAACATGGCGATTACATTTGCACGACTCGTTAGAAACGTATGGTTGCGCGACCCAACCCCCAACCATGAGGGTGCTTCAGAGGGTGCTTCAGAATCCAAGTTTTCGACAGCGTTTCTCTTAATAATATAATTATTCCCAATAAAGTAGCGATATTCTTCGTACTTTCATTTCTCATGCTTTGAAAGTTAGCGTATTCCTTCTCACGTAAATAATTACGTATCGCGCTATAATGAAGTTTCGCTGTTTCGTCATCGCCTGAAACAATGGACGTCTTACGTCACCGTTGAAATCGACTTTATCCGTGTTAATTGGCATTCTTTAATTAGAATTTCTCGTCAATGAAAGTAGATCATCTGATTACGAGGTTGAGATTATAACGAAGAATCGCGGTACATCAAAGATTACAAGCAACAAAAGGTGAAGCCTGGAACGTTGCGTCTCAGGCTCTCCCTTTACGGGCGCTCTGAATAATTTCACATTTAGTTTGACCTTACGTTATCTCGTAATTATGAAATTTCCATAATCGTTCCGAATATTCAACGTCAGCGAGGAGCACAGTCTTCCCTGAGAGTCGTTTTAAAATGACGCGTCTTAAAGTTGCTTTAAGTTCCCCTGATTAACGGTACAGATCTGTCAAGGTGCGATACTCTTCAGATCGAGCTGTGACAAGCTGAGAAACAGATGGGTGAAATCTATTTGAAAAAGTACCGAAGTTTCAGTACTTAGCACATTTTTCAAGTAAAGTTCACTACATTTCCACCCCACTTGTGCTTCATCACACACCAGAACCTTAAAGGATACGAGAATCCTTGACAATTCCAATGTCTCGCGCAGCAACTTTTAGAATGCACGCGACGCTTATTAATATTTACCCTCATCCGGAACGTGGTAAGCTTGATAAGTCTTGTTTACAACCCTAGCGTAAGGTAATGTCGTTACGCGCAAACTTCGACGTCGAATATATACAGTAATACCGGTGGTACATCCCCTAAAAACTCAAGCAGGCTTACACCGAGCCCCTGTATCGTGGGGGATAGTGTGTATACGAACGTCGCTACCCCTCGTGGAACGCGATATTCGATCGTCATAATTTATCATTACACGCAGGAAAGGACGCGCTCGGTAAATTCTCGCAGAGTTCGATGAAGTTAGCGTTGATTTATGCGCTCTAGTGATTCGAGTGATGGGGAACATCCACGTGGCGGGGGACAACCAATGTTGCTTCGAATCCCATCGATCCGAGGAAAAGAGATATGGATCAAGAGATGTATATCACGCTGTAAGAAACGTACACTCTTAATCGAAGATGTAGATACTTTTGACGACACTCTATCGATTCTCAGAGCTAAAAATCGTGGACCCCAAGGCAGAAAATTTACGCAGCTACGAAATCTACGTTTCAATGCAGATCCGCTGTAATTCTTCGTTCTGTCCCCTGTTTGCCTAGAGTAGGAAGGTAATGCCGTTGTAATTTGTGTTTACGACCCTCCACGGAGCCATTGCATTGCTCGATGAGTCTCCTGTTAGGAGAGGCATCGATCCAGCGACGAAAAGAAGAGAACATTTCTGGTGGAATCTCGTTAATGGAAATAGGCTTGGAATACAGATAAACGAGAACATGATTCATACTAAGGTTTCGCAGAGGCGATATCTAGGGCGTTGCAACCTTCGGGAAGTTGAATTAGAACCGATACTATTAGGTGTAAAATTTGAAGAAAGTCTAACCTACTCAAACGAAATTCGATTCAAAGGTGAAAATGCTGAAGTCCTCGAGGGAAGTCTTTGCGATATAAACTACAGAGTGCAAAGGGTTAATTCGATCGCATCGATATTCCTCTATCCCAACCCTCAGAGTTCGTGGCAACTCGAGCAAAGTCGAACAGAAGCTCGTCCGAGAGACACGAACCGTGTGTTATCCAAGGGACAAGAGATAGCCGGGCCCAATTGATTTCCAGGCGACTTTGAGGAACTCCAACGGAAGTGTCGGCCAAGTCCAACTTTGACGAACAGCAATTCGGTGGAAATAAAAGTCAGCTCGCAAAGAGACCTGTTCCTTGTTTGGGCGGTTCAAAGAACATCGCTACACCACGCTCCCTGGCTCTGTGCACGCGTTCCCATTAATATTCATGAGCTGGTAGGATCCGCTTAATTATCACAGCCATAGACTGTTCTGGTAATCTCACGGGCGTGAAGGTTTCATTTGAATAAATAGAAACGTGTCTTCGCGAGGTGCGCGTAGTAGTCTATCCTGCGGCGTGTTAATTCGTCAAGGTTTGATGTGTATTTCCCGTAACGGTCCGGATTCGAGCGCTGAACATGTATAATTCCGAGCAAGTAGACGCGTACTTTGTCGTCTGTTATCGAAACAACGATGGACGTACAAACGTACGTCTGTTAAATGTCGTAAATATCGTACCATATCAAACTTTCTTAGCATGAATGAGCAAGTTAGCCTGTGACTCACTGTGTAAGCGTACCGTATCGATCTCCATTGAATGAAACCAAACAGAACATTCTTGAGAGTAAACGCGTATAGTTAACGATCGATACAGCTGCCTACGAGCATTCGATTACAGCTGTCCGATATGGAACATCGTCCTAACAGCGAGACGTCGATTTCTGTGAAATTTTTCAATGAATAAATATCGGAAACGTACTGGAACGATGTATCGGTTTCGAGAACATGCTGGAATATCTTTTACTATACCAATAATACGAGTAGCGTACGTAAACTTCTTTTCGCTAGATTTCGTTCACGACGCGAGGACTTTTCATCGTTGTGCTTCTCTGTACGTCTCGGATAATCGAAAGCTAGCGCCGCGAGAGAAAGAAAGAATGAAGCGGACAGAAAGAGGGTGGGAAGCTCGAACGAGCTACAGAACGAGCTGGCACAGAGGATTCAGTCGTGGATGCCGCCTACTAAAAACGTAACGTAATAATTAGCGGTCGAGCGGCACGCTAATTAAGGTAAAAGCAGAGGGAATAAAAGGCTACCCGCTTTAACGGCAAGGTTTGAAACTTGGGAGCTTTAGCGTGCTCCCGTTTCTCAGCTTTTCTCGTTCAGCCCTTCGATTCCTTTCAGCCCGATTCGATTATACGCGACACCTCTTGCCCCTACAAAACTCCTTGTTTGACGATTCAATGACGTTCGACTAAATGTCTCCATGTTGTTCTCAACTCAATTACAACTCTCTAGGACGACCTCGCTGTACTTTCTTCAAAGTTTATCGAACAGCGGTTATGTACTTTCACTGGCGAATGCGAAGTAAAGACGTTAACGCTGAGGCAAATTGTTCCATCTTATGTGGCTTGATTTGTATACAGTCTTTAGACGAATTAGTTGAACTTAAAATGGCGAACCATTCAGCAGTGAACGCGTTCATCAGCTGATCCACGTTAGACACGTGTACGGAATTATTTATCTTGGGCGAGGAAGTAATTTTTCAGGTCATCGATCCGCTGTGCACAGCGTATATAGTCGACTATAGAGATGTCTATCCGATAGGACAGTGCACTTAGCCTCGAAGAAGGAATTCACGATCGGGGTACTGTTCCCGATCACCCTGCTTGATTTACGTCGCACGAGAACAATAAGCGTTGGAACAATCTGTCTCGCTCGAAAGAGCATTCAGGATGAGCCTTAACGGTGAAAGCCGGACCGGAAGGATTGACGATCCGTGACCACCGACACGACAATGCAAACGGTACCTAAGCCTTTCGCTGGCAGAAAATGTACAGCGTTTGCTCTTGGAACGTGACCCGAACGTTTCGTGCAGCAGCCCATCGTTACTGAAATTCGAGGATTGTCGTTAATAATAACGAATTTGTTCCTTTCAAGAGAGGTGGAGACTTTGACGCAAAGAAACTCTTGTACTTAGACCTAGATACCCTAGTATGACCTTTAAAAATAATAATAAAAATTCATATTATAATACTTGCAGACTAAAATAAATTCCCATTTAGATTCAATTTCTGCAAGTACGTTCGCGAAGATTTTATTTCGCATAAAGACCCACGCGTTTATCATTCTAACGAATCACGAATGTATATTTGTAGGTCGTAAAGAAGCGCGCGCCCCGCGAGATTCACTGGAACGAAGAAAGACGAAAGGTGGAATGGAGCGTAAGAGGAGAAAGCTCTGTGCATTTAACGTGCGAGAGGAATATGACTCGAACGTGTAACGGAGATGCACGAAGAGGAACACAGCCACGGATCCATGAATATTTATACCGCGGTTATATCGCAGAAGTAGCGGTCGCTATAAAAAAGGAAGGCTCGCTGGCAGGGCGAGCGAAGCGCAAACTTAGGCGCAACTTCAAACATCGAATAAATGACTCTATCAACCATGGAAGAAGCATTAGCGACGCGACGAAAATGGTTGCGTCTAACTACGCGATCGATATCTTGATTTATCGCTTTCGACTCGACCTATGATTTAAATAACCGCCCTCCAAATTACACTGCTATTAATGGAAATTATTAATGGCGCTCGTTTACATGCGTTATTAACGATTTCGCGGTCATTCCTGTACCACTATGATCAAACCAGTAACCGATTATTATGGAGCGCGTTTTCAACGCGATGGTATTTATAAATCCATAATGGATCCATCTAATTTGACCAAAAATTAAACTACATTTAGGTAAATTATATCGATAAAGCAATGGCAGTGGTCGAACAATATTTAAACAATCGTGTATTAAAGCTGTTCGAATTCGGTCAGGTTCCTTAAACTTTCCCAACAACAATTTCCTTTCAGACGAGAAGTGTTTTATTTTACGACTTGTATCTTAGATAGAAAATTTTTCAGCGAGTTAAATAGCTGTTGCTGGCATGAATAGCACGAAACACGTTACCTACTCGCGCGCGGATAAGGATAACTTAATCGCGAGGAGGTGCACTAAATTGCTTCTTAATTGCTAGCCACGAAGCTGCTTGTGT